AGTTTGTAGATTCGTACAGATGTCAAACTTTACATTTTGTAATTTCTAAAGCTAGGTTTGGATCATATGTATCACTCTTCCTCCATATAATTACTATAATATTCCCAGATTAATTTGAACTACCGAAATATTTTTATTTCAAACATTTATCTATTTTCAACTCTATTAAAAGAATAAGACAGTACAGGAATATTTAGAGATACTATCTTGTAGTTCTATATGTCATTTCGTTTTTTTTTATTCACTGATCATTATTTAGTTAAAAGCCAGGAACTGGAAACTGGGATTTATTGGAAACAATTCTTAAATTGTTGAATTTTAAGATTGGATTCTTAGCACATAATACATATGTAAAGTTATTTATCTACTAACACTGTAACCTTGCAGTTTAAACCACATGCAGCAATTGTATTTTTTAAAGTTTTCCTCACGTTGCCTCTGGAAAAAAAGTGAAAATAATGAAGGAATAGATAAAGGCTTAAATCACAAGTAGTAAAATTAAATAAAAAGTGAAGACCATGAAGGAATAATTAAAGGCTTAAATCACAAGTAGTAAAATTAAGTAAAAAGTGAAGATCATGAAAGAATAATTAAAGGCTCAAATCACAAGTAGTACAATTAAGTAAAAAGTGAAGATCATGAAGGAATAATTAAAGGCTGAAATCACAAGTAGTAAAATTAAGTAAAAAGTGAAGCTTTATACATTAGTGAATGTTTATGAAAGTGTAAGATGCCCAAGTTTTTCATTATTTCAAGTATATACATGCTAAGTGTACAACAATCATTTTTTCTTTTCAAAAAGTTAGTAGAACTGAATACATATTCTCTTGCAAACAAAATTCTGAAAAAAAGTATTTTCATATTATCTAGGCATGTGAAATTTTCCATGTGGTTTTGGATTTTTCAGTTTCATTAAAATCCAGAAAATGTTTTTTGAGTTTGTTGGGCAGAGGATGGAAGAACTTACTTTGGAAATGATGAGTAACAAAGTTGTGTAAAAAAACAACAACTTCAAAACGTTTTACATTGAAATACATACAACAAATTAATAGAGACATGTCAGTTTAATTAGTGAATAGAAGTAAAAAATATATCCGTTTTTGTTTTCTTTCCCTGAAATAGGTATGTAGTGGGTTTTACTTACGATGCATAGCTCTAGAAATGTTCAATAATGATGATTGTACTGTAGCTAAAGTAGGCCATAAAGATAGAGCTATAAGGAAAAATTTAATAATGCTAATATTTTCTTTCAGGTTAAAAATGACTATTTACAAATGGAGAGTGATGTAGACTTAGATTTAGCCTTACAGCTTTGCTGCATAGAAATTAGGTGAGTATTTATTAAATGAGAAATTGTAAGGAGCAGTAGTTTTTACGTTATTAACAAATCAAATTTTGTAGTAATATCTTGAGTAACTTTTACATGTTTCTCCATATTTTCATCAGTTCTAAAACTGATGATACAGTAATGTTTGTTTTAATTCTACTTTAACTTAATTTTTTGTAATGCTCAATTAAAATGATCACTAGAGCTGAGCAGTTTGTGGGATTTGCTAACCAATTAATTGTCAGATGTATTAACTCTTTCAACCCGGGCTCGGTCCCTGGGACCGACCTCATAATCATTTTGTGGTTGTTATAGTTTTTATGCTATAACTTTTAAATTAGTAAGTGAATGTTAAAGAAATTTGGCAGATTATCAGTAAACATTACAATGCTTTCATACGCAAAATATCTAATTTTGTTGTTGAGTCTTAAGGTTTGTAAAGCAATGTTTCTCTCGTGCCTTTTTTTTCTTTTCACATCTTGCGTATTTATCATCCAAAGTAATTTTCATTTTAAGATTAAAAATACTTTTATGTATCAGAAAATTTTCAAATTTCACATGCAAAATCTTTATAATGTCCAGATAGTTATCAAACATTTCTTAATAAAAAACTTTATATTTTATCTGTTATTTTCAGTAATTAATCTCTGTACGGGTTCGGTAAATTTGATCAATCTTGCAAAAATTAGGAAATAAACATAAATTATGCCTCTTTCATTCTAGAATGAACACAGATTAGAACACGAAAACATAATTGTTTAGATGAACTAGCTTAAATATCGTAACGTTATATATATTTCTATATATTTATTATTTTTATTATATTGACTATTCACCTGTGCCTAGCTAACAATACAGAAGTCACAACGATGCGGCTCATGTGCACTCGTGTTACCGTATCAAATAACATGAAGGTGACCTTTGGTCTATACAAAGTAACTTGTCTTGGCTGTGTTTTAGTTGATTAGTATTTTGTAAAATACAGTCACATCTCAATTATTATACATTATATACGTGTATAGATTATTGCTATTTTGAAATAAGTTCTTAAAAGTTATTTTTCCTAAAACATACAGCAGTAAATAAAGTAGTAAAACAAACAATTATCTCTTCTAGTTATGACCTTTGTACTTGGTTGCTGCTTGACATAGGTTGCTAAGCCTTTAAAAATTTTGAACGTGGAGGATATGAAACAAATTTTTTTTTTTTTAGATTTTATATATACTTTTGAATAACTAAGAAAATCATAAATTACTACATCAATACCATACATTTCAACTATAATTTATCAAACTTAGTAACTCAGCTGCATTTGGGTCTAAAAAAAATATGAAATTTTGAGCAGACTAAAGATACAACCTACCCTATTGAAATTTGGTTCAAAAGAAAGAAATGGCATCAGGTACGTTAGAAAGGCTGAAAAAACCACTAGGGGGACTTTCTGAGCTTCCGATGGTTATTTATGTCATATATAGAAGTAAATGTATATAAGGGAGCATTACCAAAAATGGAAAGATGTGAGCGGGGTGCCACTGTGTTTGATTTTATTATGTGAGCAATATCTTAGCAAATTTAAAAGATAATACCTTATTTTATATTCTAGCTTGTCAGTATCTGTAATTTGAGTTTCTAATTCATATGAAACTATAGACTTAGTATTCTGACTTCACAAAAATTGATGTTTATCTGTGTTTTTTTAATATTTACTCTTAAATTAACAAATTGAGTAATGTACAGTTCTAAAATTTGAATTATAATCTACAGTTTGATTCCAAACTTATTGACATAAATTCATGAAATAGTAGTTCAATAAAATTTTGTATGTGAGTCAACAAATGAGATGACATGGCCTTTCACCTGTGACTCATCTCAAAAGGGTTAATCGATTACATTCAGGTAAAGATAGCATAGCTTTGTATATAAAAAAAGCAAGCATGATGGTAATGTTCCGATTACTTGGATATTTGGAATAATATAAACCAGTAATAATCAGAAACCCTAATTTCAATCGATAATTTTGTGAGTAGTGACACTAGTGATTAAACTGAACAAACTTGAATTACCAAATACAACATTTGAAAGGCATTGTTAATGATGTGCATGTGTCTATGAAGTTTCTTGGATGAAGTTCTGAGATGCTAGCACAGATCTTCATCAGTAATATCTATAATTGAAAACACTAATTTCAATTAATTAATTATTTTCATGACATTAATCAGTTTAATTGTAATTTTGATTACTGGATAATTGGAATAACCAAAACAGTAACAATTTGAAGCACTAGCTGATTATTTTCATGACATTAATTGATTTAGTCATTATTTTCATTAATTGATTGTCATATGTGATACTAATTGATGTAATTGATTTCCACTCGCGTATCTTCCACATGTCCTATTGTGCCCAAATCAGGTGACTGTACATAAGATCTGCTTTCCTGTCATAATCCAGATTTTCATTTCTTATAGTTGTCCAATTAACTTTGCTCACTATGAATTCTGAAGTCAGTGTTTTCTGTTGTAAATGCTTCTACTAATATTGGAAATTCCACAACTTCTTTAATGGCTGTACTCCCACAATATATCTCTAGCATGCAGGGAGATCCTGCAGCTGCATTGTTGGCCATTAATTCAAAACCATCAATCTCTTTTGCCTTCATTGTTCAAAGACCTCATCTAAACCTTTCATCTTCAACAACCCCATAATTCCACATTGTCTAGTCTGACATTTTTATGGCTTATCTTTATTTTCTTTATTACTTATATCTGACAGAAAACATTCAGATATCTATGCTCTTAATGTTTCATATACTTTATTTTTTCCTATACCAAGAGCTTTCACACCTAAAACTTGAGCTGTGACAGTAGGTAACCATTTTTTATTGTGTTACCTGCACAGAATTATCCTTATTCTTGTTTGTAAAAAAACTTTTTATATTTTATATACATATTTATTTCATGAAGTTTTTTTTAGCTATGTGGCCCTTGTTTCTGAGTTGAATAGATACTTGGTAACATATGTATATGTATTTATTTCACAAGGTTTTTTAAAGGATATGGCACTTGTTTCTGAGTTGAATAGATACTTGGTAACATATGTATTTATTTCACAAGGATCTATTCAACTCAGAAACAAGTGCCATATCCTTTAAAAAACCTTGGTAACATATGTATATGTATTTATTTCACAAGGTTTTTTAAAGGATATGGCACTTGTTTCTGAGTTGAATAGATACTTGGTAATGTATGTATATGTTTCTGTATTTCTCTCAGGAGGTTTTTTAAGGATATGACCCTTGTTGCCTTAGAAAGAAAGTCCAACTTTGAGTACTTAGAGAAGGATGTTGGTCTTCACAAGTTTCTTCCCTCTCCTGTGATAACTGGAAATAAGGTAATATGGGCTCATTACTCAAAAACAGAAAAACTTTTCAGTTATTGGAATGTAAAATGTTGGACATGTATCAGAGCTATAACTGGCTCATAATTAATGTTTTTGTTGCAGTACATTTTGGTTAATAAAATATGCTTACCTTCAATTTTACTATTTCTCTCCAAAACCTTTTTTTGGAACACTTATGTTTATCTAATTTTATCACATTCCAAAAATATTTGCATCTGCATTTGAGCATGTGTTACCATAGTGAAATCTCAACAAACCATATGTGCATCTTATATCAATAGTACGGGTTTTTGGTAAATAATTTAAATGGTCTGGAAATGGCTTTTTTTTCTTTGTTTAATATTGAAGAGATTATTGTACAATTAGTTTGACAATTTACTTGTGTTGAACCACATTAAGAAGTAGGCTTAAGGAAAATGTTTTGAACTTACTTTTGAAATTAAACTGAAATTATTAAAATTTTGTATTTTCACTACCTCTATGTTGCATATTATTTTAAGTAATGATATGCCCAATTAGCATTACTGAGTTATTTTAGAATTTGAAATGCAGGTTGGGTTAGTTAGAGGTTTCTTAAAGGATGGAGAAAGTGCTTAATTTAACTGTTGTCAAAAAATACTTTATTTAGGAACCAAAGACATTTATTTAATATAGAGCAATAAACAAATAATTTTTATAGATAATGGTTCATGCTAATTGACTGAGTTAGTTTGATGTCAAGACATACCACCATTAAAATTATTTATTGCTGAAAATTCCATTGGTATATAACCTTAAGGTCAAGTCCCAATTCTAAAGTTGACTAGAAAAAAAAAAAAAATGATATTGTTATTTAGAGGACTCTGCACTGAGCAGCCTTGGTAAAATTCATATAAAGTCAGTATGTACTGTTTTATTTACATTTTGAATCTCAATTCTCTATTTGTTAAAAACAACCATTTCTTTAATTTTTCCGTGTTTCATAGTGTGAAAGAATATGGAGCAGTACATAATTTTACGAGGTTCTTCACAGCAAGTGCTATAGATATGCAAGATAAGAATGGCTACCATGTAAGAGAAGGCTTATTGTGCATGGTTCTATGCAAAGCTTGAGAGTGTGTGTATGTGCAACATATCAAAACTTTCTACACCAACTTATGATATTAGTTTTCCCTTATATTGGGTTCTTCATATTTGTCAATTTTGTATGAAAAATTTAATGACTTGAGGGATTGGACATAGAGACTTTAGTCTCCTAATTTGGAAGATAATGTAAAAGTTCAATTACACCCCATTTTGTCAGTGATTTAAGCAAGTGCACCAAAGAGGTATTGTTTTTATTCATAACATCATACTTGGTAGATGCTGTTATATCCTACTAGCCATGTATGATACTAGAGGGCAATAAACATGTTATTAAATTTAACATATGTGCCTACTGACTAGCCAGAAGCTGATGAATATTAGACAACCCTGTCTATTTATATAGTTTCCAAAGTTATGTGACAGTCACAACTGATAAAAAAAGTAACAGTGGAACAGTATGTATCAAAACTACTTTTTGATATTGTTTAGCACTGTGCTGGTAATTTGATGTCACCAAAAAATGTTTGTTTTGGGGAAGGATATTTAACATCCCTCTCCAGTGCAAGATATTTATACATTTAGACCATAAAGATGTGTTCAGATCAGTGATTCAGAATATCCAAGATAGGAATATACCTTGTATTGGAAAACAATGGAATATGTTTCAACTTTGGGCATCAGGACCATCCAGAAAGGGGCCTGTAACAAATCGTACCCTGGCCATGGTAAGCAAAATGCAGTGTCTTGTAACAGTTGTGAATCTATGAACACAAAGATCAGTGGCAAAAGCTATCCACATGCCACAGGCAGCAGTACACATAATCAAGAGGGATCCCATCTGGAAAAGTAACACAAGTCATATGTATACATGTAACTTCCACAACATATCCATTTAACTGTTTCATACCTGAAGTAGTGCTGGAGAATGAAACTAGTATTCATGCTGTTCCATTCGAGGACATACCAGTCAAGCCATCAAATGCAAAGCCTATGGATTTTTGTGTCATTGGGCTGTTGAAATGGGTGCTTGGAGCTATTGTTCTTGTACATTAGAAGGATTATGGAAAGCATACAAATAAGAGGGTTTGCTTTGGACATGACAACCCTATGATGGAGTCTTTTGCAATGGAAACTATGCTGCTGGGCTATTATCAAGATGCATAGTCATCAAAGAGAGCTTAACTGGATGTAGTGTGGCTCCAAAATCACTTTGATGTAATGTACTTGAACTTTGTGTTTATAACGTTTCTTACAAATATTTAATCAAAACATGGGGTCATGAAATGACAAGTATTACTTACAATTATTAAATTTCTGTAGCAAATCACAAAGGTTATCTTTTGAATTCAATTTTATTTAATGTAAAGATAATTTTAAAAAAATGTTCTTTTAGATGAGCTCAACAATATATATTTATTATGTAAAATCAAGTTTAATTCTTGTAACTCTTTTTTTTTTGGGGGGGGGGGGGGGGCAAAGGACACATTTAACCTAAACATGAATGAAACAATGCATTAATA